TGTGTGTGTGTGTGTGTGTGTGTGTGTGTGTGTGTGTGTGTGTGTGTGTGTGTGTGTGCCTTACCTGAAGGTCCTATTTGCGGGAAGACTGGAAGTACCTGCTCAAGGCATTAATTTTTATTTTTTTTTGCAGTGTGAGGGGGAGCGTTTTCCTATTTGCGGGAAGACTGGAAGTACCTGCTCAAGGCATTTAATTTTATTTTATTTTTTGCAGGGGGGAGGGGGCGCGTTTTCGGAGAGTTGATACCCTATATCCGTAGTATAACGAATGTGCGTTTTGTTCGGGGGAAGACTGTAGTGTGAGCATGCCATCAGCAGGGAAGTTCTCAGGAGATTGGTGTCAACAAAAAGAGGTGTTGCCATAGGCTGACTCGGGGAGTGTCAAAAAAACGAAACCTGTCGCCATCAGCAAGCCCAAGAACAATCAGGATCCAAAAAAAAGTGCAGCTTTTTCTTTTTTTTGGGAAGGAGAGAGGAGGGGGGGGGGGGGGKGGGTGGACGGTGGAATTTGCAAAACAACCCTCAAGGTTCACATCTCTGCTAAAACCCCAAGAAGATGTGGCCCTCTGAAATTTCAAAAGTTCGTCAAATGCCCTTTTGGATTGACAACCCTCCAATCTACCCCTGTGGCCCTAGGTGGGTGCTGCACAAGTTTGGGTTCTGCCCCTTCCAGGGATATAGTATGAAATTGGCGATCCCCTGACAGGGGCTAGAAGGCAAATATGTACATCCAAAAGGGCATTTGACAAGCTTTTCAGACTTCAGAGGGGTAGTCCGCTCTACTCACATCTTTTAGGGAATTATATTTAGAATATTTGTGAACTTTCAGGGGTATTTCGCAAATCTGGCCTTTTCTTTTGAGGTCCAGAGCCTTGAGATACCACCACTGAACTGACCGGCCGCGGAAAATTCAGAATTGTTCTGTTCCGTTCATCTGATTGCATCTGGATTCGAGCTCAGGTCTGTGTTTCAACAGTTTATTGGGGTACCAACTGAGCTAGGCCCCCTGGTAAATGCGGCTATTTCTGTCTCATCAGCAGGGCGAAATTTCTTCTTCCTTTTTTTCTTGAGATTGTGCTCAATTTCGCAGCCGATGGCCGTAATAAAAAGTTCATCTCATCGAGTGGGGAAAAAAAAAACCAAAAAAAAAACAGGCGCCTGAATGATCGGCTTCCCCCCCCCCCCAAAAAAAAAGACGCCTGTCTCTGACACTCCTCGCTGTCAGACAGCTTGAGAAAGACTGCGTCGATCGAAAAGAAGCTCAGCTGACAGGTCTCAGCAGAGAAAATTCTGAGCTGATTGGTCTCAGAAAAAAAGAGACACGTGTCGCTGCAGGAGTCGCTGTCGGATCACTAATTAAGTGTCAAGAAAAGGACAAAACGAAAAAAGCTTCAAAAAAACAATCTGCGTCGAAAATGAGGGCGGGTACCAATTGGCCCAGATCAGTGGGTGCACCCGTGTACTGTTGACATGTAGATCTGGAACAAGTAGATCTGAGTTCGAAATCCGCTCAGAGCAGATGAGTAACGCACAACAATTCTGAACAACATATGGCCGGTCAGTTCGGTAGTGATATCTTTTTTTTTTTTTTTTTTTTTTTTTTTTTGGGAGATACTGACTATATCTCGATTTATGCGTGTCGTCCTTGCACAGGGGCCATGCTAATTACCCTTCTCTGTATCGTCCCAATGTTAACAGATGTCCCGAAGGACGGGAGATACTGATTTTTATTTTTTTTTAGAAAGAGACACTGGTATCTCAAGGCCGTTGCCCTTTTTATTTGGGAAAGAAAAAAGAAAAAGGCGGGTAATTGGTCTCATCTCATCCATTGGTGTCAGTAAAAGACACTTGTACCCACGGGCGTAGCTCAGCTGGTGTACATATAAACTTTTCAAAATAAAGATCTGAGTTCGAAACCAGCTGAAACCAGATACACATAACGCAGTAATTCTGAATTACCTAGGGACGAGTGAATTACCGAGGGATAGAAGGGAAGTCGGGCTGATCCACCGAAAGTCGCAGGGAATCTGTACAGCAGGGGAGATGCGTTTTTTCCCCCCCCGTTAAAGGGGCGATGCCATTACAAAGACGGAGAGAAGCAGGGGGGAAGAAAAAGAGGGAAAAAAAGAACAAGGACCAAAAGGGACCTCTTTTCTTTGAGTACAGAGGACAGTATCAGAAAAGAGGGGGGAAGAAAAAGGAAAGAAGGGATGGAGAGTAAAACGAGGGGGTGGAAGGAAACAGCGAGGAAGAAGAGGACACGTAGATTGCGGGAGGGGGAAGAGAGGGAGGCGATGGAGGGGAGGGAGAGAGAGGGGGAGAAGGAGGACGAAGAAGGACGATCAACATCAGGACGTTCGAACCAGGGGGAGGAGGAGGAGGAGGAGGAGGAGGAGGAGGAGGAGGAGGGGGAGGATGACGAAGGAGAAGATTCGGAGGAGGAGGCGGAGGAGGAGGAGAAAAGAGAAGGAACAAGGACGAGCAGCACGAGCCGGAGGAGGGGGGAAGCCAAGGGATCGAGAGAGGAGGAGGGGGAGGATGAGGAACAAAAAAGAAGAGGAGGGGGAGGAAGAAGAGGAGGAAGGGGAGGAGGAGGAGGCGGAAAAGGAGGAGGAAGAGAAGGACGGGGAGGAGCAGGTGACGACGAAGAACCAAGGCAACAGGAGGGAGACAAAACTAAGAGGCAATGAATAACCGATAATTATATATATATATATCAGATATATATGAACTTGCATATACATATGTATATGAGGACTTTGCAGACTGTAGAGGGTTTAGCCTCCTGATGAATCGGTGAAACTCCGAGGAAACAGTTTGTCAGATCCCTTCGTTTGTTGTCCTCTTCTCCCTCTCTGCCTACAGTTCTTTTGGACAGTTCGATCGGACCATATTATATATAGATAGTGTCCAATATAGATATATTTATATATATAAATACATATATACATATATATACATAGAATGCGGCGGATAATACATGTACATATACATATATATATATAAAGATACTGTTTGACGATATATATATATATAGACACATAATATCAACAAGGCCAGGGAGAAAAAGCCAGGAGATGGTGAACAGGAAGGGCTTGACAGACGCGCAGCCGAGGCCGCCGAACCGGCTTCGCCCGCCTAATTTTGGGCAAATTCCCGTCCACCTACTGGTATAACACGACTCTCGATTTGGGGCAATTTCCCGTCTCCTCACACCGTCCCCATACATCTATAAAGACCGTAAGTTCTGGTGCGAGACTTCGGAAACGCGCAAGTTCTGCAGTTACCCCTAACTTCCTACGTTATATTTGAGGGAAGGAAATAGGGGGAGGACTGCGAGAGGGTTGACAGCGAGCAGAAGAGTGAAAGGGGGAAGAGAGAAGAGAAGAGAGGAGAGGGGAGGAGAGGGAAAGGGGGGGGGGGGGGAAGGGGAGAGTATAATTCTTCTGTACCGCAACCCTTGTCATAGCTTTCCTTGGCCTTGGAAGCGATCTGAACCACTCTCTGATTGAGAGCTTGGAGGAACGATGCTGCGCTCTCTGGTGAGAGCGCACCGATTGGCAGACGCGAAGTTTGTTCCGTATCAAGAGCAGCCGGATACGGCAGCAGCATACTGAGGAGGACGACGAGTGCCAACCGCCGCTTCGCGAAGTTCATCCATCGGGCAGGCTCCATAACCAAATGAGCTTACGAAGCCAGGGCCGCCGTTTCCCAAGAACACCTTAGCTCAAGCGTTCTCTCTCTCTCTCTCTCTCTCTCTCTCTCTCTCTCTGTGTGTGTGTGTGTGTGTGTGTGTGTGTGTAGCGTGTCTCTTTCTTCCCCTCAACTGGATCTCGCTGTCTCTCCCTCCCCCTCAAGTGGACACCTCTCTCTCTCTCTCTCTCTCACACACACACACACACACACACACACACACACACACACACACACACTCGCTCACTAGCACACCCACTCACTCAATCAATCACTCAATCAATCTCCCTCCCTATGTGTGTCACTTTGCTGGCCTTCGCGGTCGCGAGGTGGGTTTCCATCGAACTCCATGCACTGATGCAAGTTGGGAAGGACAAGGCCTCGTTCCACTACCGCGGAGTGTGAAATTTTGGGAAGCGCATCTTGCGGGAAAACACAGCATGGTACGTCATTCTCACAATTAACCAGTGGTGGAGAGAGGGCCATAGTCCCACGATGCAAATCTCTCTCTCTCTCTCTCTCGCTCGCTCGCTCGCTCGCTCGCGCGCGCCCTATTTTTTTATTTTTATTTTTTTTAAAAGGGCGACGGCCTTGAGATATTATCATTGAGCTGACCGGCCCCAAGCAATTTCAGAAATATTTGGGTTTACTCGTCAAGTTCCGTCATCTGGGTTTGAACACGGGTCTGTATTTCAACAGTTCAAGGGTGTACCCACTGAGTTAGGCTCTTGGGTGCGCGCCCTATTCACCACTGGCCAAATGTGGAGAATGACTTTTCCCCACTTTTTTCCCCGTTTGGGGGGAAATGGATACACAAGTTTCGTCGCGGGAAGGTCTTATGACTTTTCCCAACACAGGTTTCGTCCCGAGGAGGTCTTATGACTTTTCCCAATCATGGGAAAAGTCATAAGACCTCCCCGCGACGAAACTTGTGTATCCATTTCCCCCAAACGGGGAGAAAAGTGGGGAAAAGTGGTGAGACTTTCCGTTTCATTTTTGCACCCTGCAAAACACTTTCCCGCCATTTTTACACCGCGCCCGTTGCCGGCCCCGCCAGGGTCACAAAAATGACCAGGGTCACAAAAATGACAGTAAAACTGATTTTGGGAGCTGCGGCGCTTTTTTTCTCGTTTGGAGGGGAAATGGATACGAAGGTTTTCTCGTGGGGGGGGGTTATGACTTTTCCCAAAAAGTGCCACAGATCCGAAAATCACTTTTGGAGTCATTTTTGTGACCCTGCCTGGGCCCGTAGCGGCCACTCTGTAAAATGGCGGGAAAATGTTTTGCAGGGTGCAAAAATGACGCCGAAAGTATATTGGGGGCCTGCGGGGGGAAATGGATACAAAGGTTTCGTCGCGGGAGGAAGGTTTTATGACTTTTCCCATAAAGATTCCAGTGAACCATTGAAAGCTAAACCGCCATAATCTGTTCTTTCTGCATATGGTGTGATTCCAGAGCGAGCCTCTCTCTCTCTCTCTCTCTCTCTCTCTCTCTCTCTCTCTCTCTCTCTCTCTCCCCCGCCCCCACAATCCCTCCCTCCCGGCCACGTGCGCTCTGGAGTGATGGTGGACATACAGACAAACCTTTCCCTAACGATTGGGAAAGGCTGGCGGTGGTGAGATCCCATTACCCAAGCTTTCCAAAAAAAAAAAAAAAAAGCCGCATGATTGCTAGTGTGTGAGTTTGTGTCAGGGCCTAGTTGCATCACCCGCCATTTGCCAAAGTTTTTAATGCATGTGGATCGCCTGCATGTCCACAAGCATTCAAAATGGGCCTCGCCGCACTGCTCACCAGTGTACCGATCTATGAAATGTCAGGGCTATGTTCAGCTCCAAAGTGGCAAGATGCACTCACTGCCACACAGGCATGTCGTCTGTCACACATTTGGTGAGCTAAGGTCAGTGGTGCGACGTGGTCCTACTAATCCCCTCATGTCAATCGCATCGGTCACCGGACTAACGACATACTCACACGAGTCACACCACTGTAGCACTTTTTTTACTTATTTTTGGACGTGATTGCGGTCGGATGCAAACACGTCTAGCCATGATTGCAGTAGGATGCATTTTGAAAAGTGCAAGTGTGAGTATGCCCTAAGAAGAGAGAGAAAAGAGACGAAAACGAGAAACAAACTAAGGGCATACTCAGACCAGTGTGTTCATCCGAATAGAACGCCCGGTGATTACGGCTGCATCTGGACTGAAAAATGCCCCAAAAAACAGCCATAGTAAGGGGGGCGTTCTATTCGGGTGAAGAGGGTAGCACTTTCCAGAGTCCATCCGACTGCAACCACGGGGATCTCAGGATGAATCTGGCCGCCAACACGTCCAGAGCGTTGTGGAAAACAGTCCTCGTGTGAGGATGCCCTGAGTTGGCAAGCTCGCCCTCATTGCTGTGACAGTCTGGAGAGTGGCAAATATTTTGTCGGTTCTTTTTAGGGGAAACTAGGCGGGAGTCACAAAAATGAGTTGCAATTGCAATATGGGCCAAGATACAGTTTCCAATTGCAGATCGGGCAATGTATACAACCCAGTTTTCTGGCCAGGTACGGTGCCCAAAGTGCAATTGCAAACTGTATCTTGCCCCGTAGCGCAATTGTAACTCGTTCTTGTGACTCTACTGAAGTCACCCCTCCTTTTTATTTCAATAGGACGCGTCGTTGAAATCAAGCTCGCTCACCCACCAACTTGAAATCAAGCTCGAGCCTCAGGAATTCTCACACTACAGTCTTCCCTCGAAATACCGTCATTATAGCTGAATTTGGGGCATCTTGCCATCTTGCAGTCTAAATTCAGCTCTAATGACTGCACGTTGTATTCGGGGGAAGGCGGTAGCACTTTTTGTACTTATTTATGGAGGGAATTGCGGCTAGATGCATACAGTTACGGCTGTAGATGCTGTCAAGACTAAAGATAGTGCTACCTAGTGTGAGTACGCCATCACTTGGTACACCCACCAACTGTTCGAAATGCAGACCCAAGCTCGAATCCAGCTGCAATCAGATAACAAATTTCAAACCGTAAACCATTCTGTATTACCTGGGGCTGGTCAGTTCTAATGCAATGATGATGGCATCTCTACTTTCTCAAGGGCCGTCGCCCTTTCTTTGGGCCTCGTTCCACTACTCGCCATCCGCCACGCATGGCGGATGCGACTTCGCTCCACTGCATCACCAATAGCCACGAAATGGACGCTGTCAGAATTTCGGTCCGAAATCACTTGGCTATGTGTCGCCAAGGCTTTCCATTTCCCCTGCCTGCAACGGCCCTTCGTGGAGGTGCTACTCCTCACCCCTCCGCGAAATGCTTCGTGTGGCCATTGCCCCTGACACAGAGGTGCTGACAGTCTACCTGTGTTGTCCCCTAGTGTTGTCCAGTTTTCGCCGCACCTAGATATTCCAGTCCGAATACGTGGTGAAGAGAAAGCCGCCACCATTCCATTAGCTCTCCATCCGCCGCAGTCCTGGGAGTAGGCCGGGATAGCAACCACATCGCACGTGGCGGCGGCGATGTAATGGAACCAAGAGCCGTTTTCTGCCAGAAACATGCACTTTTCGGCCTCGCCAAGTCTCGCCACTGTTTGTGGCGGATGGCGAGTAGTGGAACGAGGCCCTTTCTTTCTTCGTTGAAGGAAAAACAAGAAAGCAGCTGGCAAGCTCGCGCTCAGCGCTGTCGGGAGTTTGGGAGATTCGTCGTTTCTTTTTCTGTCAGGGCATACTCGCACTGGTAGCAAAATTCACAAAAATCACAGATTCTGCGATAGTACGGGGTCACACAGCCAGAGCGGGTACGCAAATGACGCAAATGGGTACGCAAATCCTCCAGCGTGCCTGGGCGTGGGGGCATGCAATTTGTGTCCACATCAAGAGGTGAGCACAAATGCATTTTTGTTTTCCCAAGAGTTTACCGGAAAAAGAAGTCGGAAATAAATAAATAAATAAATAAAAATCCCTCTTCGTGTGCGACTTGCACAATAACGCAAAAACTGACATGCAGAAAGTTGTGACCGTGTCCCATATGGCACGCGCGGTTAGGTGTGACCAGCAGCCAACGCAAATATCACAAAAGCCATAGCAAATGTCACAATTAATTGTGATACTGTCACAATTTTTTGTCACAATTTTTGTGATATTTGCATTCAGTGTGAGTAGGCCCTTGGGGCATGTCACACGGGGACCTATATTTCCAAAATCCCCAAAAAAAGGGGAACTACCAAATCCACAAATGTACTATTCCTGTGCCCATTTGTCAGCAGCCTGGGAAGCCGCGGGGCAAGGGATTCTGCAGTCACCTCCAGAGGTGACCGCAAATGCCCTTTTATTTTTTCGCATTTTCTTTAAAAATTGGCAAAATTTCGTTCGCAAAAGTTCTTGCACAGTTTCTGGATGGCGCCGTGTGACCAGCCAAGTACCAAATGGCAAATCCCCATTTCTCCAGACGGCCGCTACCTTGTCCCATCTGAAAAGGTACAGCAGTGCGACGTGAACCATGCCCAAAACCTCAAATAGGCCCTTCCCAAATCCGCAGATCCGCATATTTTGTGGATTTGGGGTCGCACTGTGAGTATGCCCTCAGTCTTTCAAAAGAAAAACGCTTTCCAAGTACAATAGAGAACTGTCATTGCGAGCTGAAAAGCCCACCTCACCACGTGCGGAAAGAGGAAAAGCTAACAACCATCATTGCAAATTCTCTCGATCCCCATTCAAAGCAAGCCCAGTCCAACTCTCTCTCTCTCTCTCTCTCTCTCTCTCTCTCTCTCTCTCTCTCTCTCTCTCTCTCTCTCTCTTTGTGTGTGTGTGTGTGTGTCTGTGTGTGTGTGTTTGTGTAAAAGAGATTTGCAAGTGATTTGCTGCATTTGCACACAAGATGGGGTGAGCATGTCTATATAGGGTCTGTGACACAGGGCTGGTAGGGAAGATGAAGAGAAACGACAAACTTTATAAATTGTTGAGAAGATGTGGTGTGGAGAGAGATGTTGCTATCCCACTTTATCGTTCGTCTATTGAGGATCTTATTGCCAATGAAAAGTTTTTTATCCGAACTATGTGTTCGGGGCTCAATACATGCGACCAGCCATGTCAGGCTAAACGTCGAAGGAAAGGATTGAGGGAACGTTTGAGGGAGAAGAGGAAGGCTGGTGGGGTGATTGTTGTTCGACCGTCTCCATTTCTTATTACATTTCACTCCAGTGTGGGGATCTTTCGCACTAGCTTATGTCGGATTTTAGAATATTGCAGTAAAAATGGAAAAACCTCCTGCGTTGTGCTATGTCAGGGGGGATCTTCACTTGCAGACCGATGGAGTGTTCTGAGAAGGTTGTAGGGAGGATCGACTGTCTCTTCTTGTTTGGAGTTTCACAATTAATAAAGTCTCGGGAATGGTTCACGCACGGATAGACGATCTTTTTCACCACAATTTGCCTTTTTTTCAATAGGCTTCTACCTCTCAAATAACCCTTGTCTTATCTCCTATCGCTGCTAGTATTGCATCCATCCTCCAAAAAAGATTTGTACTTTTGGCGTTTCGAGAAGTTGGTGCTTGCCTTTTCTGCCATTAGAACATATTCGGTAAAAAGATAGAGAGGCAGACTCCGTTTTATTCTATCCAGGGTAATTGAGATTGAACTCCGCCTACGTCTGGTCATTCGAAGGGTTAATTTCAAAAATATTGCTGTTTCGAAGTTTGGCAGCAAAAATGTCGTCCGTTCGAAGTTTCCTTCGCAAAAATAGAGGTTTCTTTGCAGCTTTATGGTTCCGGTAGTTTGCCAGCAAAAATACCACGTTTTGCCCAGTTTCACAGCAAAGGTCCCCTGGCCCCTGGCCTCAGGGACTAAGGGACTCAGCATTCTGGCCTGAGGCACTCAGCTTTTCTTCTTGTTTTTTTTGTTTTTTTTTTTTTTTTTGGGAAAATTTGTCTGGCGCCCCTGTATTTTGCAATAATTCGCATCGCGCCCCTCCGACGGCTGGCTTACCCTGTCGCGCCCCTCTGAGCAGGGTTGAAATTTTCGAAAAGACCCCGGTGTCATTTGGGCCTCAAATCTTTTCGTGACGCCCCTACCGGTACCGGTCAGTAATTTGCAGGATGCCCCTACCGGATGGCCTTTAAAAGCCAGCGGACAAATTTTCGAGATGCCCCTACCGGTACCATCCATCTTTTCGGCACGCCCTTGTTGCTGTTGGAGGCACTTTGGGGCATTCCCGTGTGTGTGTGTGCATGTGTGTGTGTGTGTGTGTGTGTGTGTGTGTGTGTGCGTGTGTGTGTGTGTGTGTGTGTGTGTGTGAGAGAGAG